GTATTCAAGATGAGGAGACCGTGCCCAGAAGGTTCAATCGCTTGCCTAAGGTCACACAACCAATGAGCGGAGGGGCTGCCCGCAGAGTGTCCTCTCAGCCCTGCCACCAGAATGCCCGTGCCCACCTGCGCACACACCCTCCCTTCCCCACCCGCCTGCCCGCTCTCTGCTGCCACGGCACCATATTGGGACCCATGCTCAGTGCTGCCTCCAGGCCTGGTCTCATAGCTCTAGGTCCTGTCCTGTTTTCCTCGTGGGACTGCTCAGTCCCAGGGGCTGAGGGTGGAGAAGATCACGGCACGTGTTTTGTTGTTGAAGGAGTTCTTAGGGCTTTACGTGTGACCAACTCCAGATAGCGCCAGGAGCTGTCTCTGGGGAGGGCCCATGTGCTGTGCGCCCCGCAGATGGAGGTCTCACTGCCCACCGAGTGACAGCCACCTAGGTGCAGGCTGGCACCCCAGTCAGGCCTCATAGAAGCTTTTCTATGAATATGTAAAGAAAAGGTTTTCCCACTTAAGGGGTTTGTATTAATATTTTTGAGAGATGCCAAAAGCATAGGTCAATTAGTAGAAAGAGGCAGGGGGCCTGTGGTGTCATCAGAAAAGGTGTTTATCGTGAGATCTTTGTTTTGGGCCTTTTGGGTGCATCTCTGGAGGCCCCAACAAAAGCCAGAAGCAGGGATTTTTGTTTTCTGCCCTGAGAACATTATTCCCGCCCTTGAGGAACATCATGTCCTGCCTGTGGATACTGCAGCTGTGTCATCTCCCGAGCAGGGTCCCTCTTGCTGGGACAGTGGCAGCAGCCTCCGGTGGGGCCCCTGACTGCAGGCCAGGCTCCTCCAGCCCTGTCCTCCAGATAGTGGCACTCCCCGGTCTGAAGCCTTCCCTGGTCCCAGCCCTACGGGGGGAAAAGCATTACATTCCTGCCTCACACCCTATCTGTTCTGTGGCTACCTCTGCCGGGGCCTCACGGAACACCTGGCCATCTGAGGTGACACCCTGACCAGCCCATCCCAGGCTTTGGCTGGTGCCTGGAATGCCTGCCTTTCCCTGCCGTCAAAATGCCACCCATTCTTCAAGGCCTGGTTTATTCGCTCCCCTCCACCCCAGAAAGTGTCCCCAGGGTGTCCCCAGGCCTTCTCTGGGCAGGACAAACTTCACTTTCTAAGCTGCTCTTACCAAGTTCCAGGACAGAAGGCGAGTGCTCCTCGGATATGGTGATGGTGGTGAGTTCCAGCAGGGGAAGCCAAGCAGAGGCTCAGAGCCCTGAATCCAAGGGAAGCCAGGATCAGGTGGGGCCCACAGAGCACCCAGGCTCAGCAGACAGGAAGGGCCTATAGCTGTCACTCGGTCTGATCTGTCCTTTCTACAGGTGGGGAAACAGAGGCCCGGGGAGGGAAGGCAGTGCCATGTAGGCTAGAGGATCCTGGGCTGGAAGACGGGAGCCTGGCCATGGAGTCGCCCCCTGGCCTGGGCGAGTCTCCCCACCTTCCTGAGGCTCCGTTTTCTCACACAGAAAATGTCGACAGTTGTATGCATCATGTGAGCATCGCAGGATTGTTAGGAGGGTTCAACGAAGTCCTGGATGCCAAGGAGGCCTTGGTGACCAATATAGGATCATTATTATGTGTCATTATTTACATTTACTGAGCACCCACTAGATGCCAGGCACTCTATATATCAGTTCACTTGGTTTCCACAACAACCACATAGTCTTGACAACAACTTGTCATTTGCCCCTACTTTACAGAGGAGGGAACTGAGGCACAGAGAGGTTGAGTTACCTGCTGAAGGTCACAGAGCTAGGAAGAAACAAACCCAGGATTTGAAGCCATGCAGTCTGGCTCCAGAGACCTTGCTCCTTGCCTCTGTGCCAAACTGACTGAGGCCCATGGGGTCTGGTGGCAGCACATGGCTTGAACCTGGGCAGTCTGCTGCTTCCCAGCCAGCTTGGTGGCCCGGCTAGGCCATGACTATAGCCAGGCAGCTCCCTTGGTGACTGACGACCTGGCCCCTCCATATGTCATGGGGTGAGGGCTCCCTACACTCAGCCAGCTTCCTGTGTGGCACTTCAGATAACTGCACACCACCACACAGTCCCCGACATGTGGCTGGACTGGCCCCTATGTCAGTCTCATGCCCCAGGGACGGGCAAGCTCCCCTTCCCCAGAGGGCATCAGCCTCACAGGCATCTCACAGCACCGGGGCCCCGTGTTGGGGGTGCCCACCACACCACCACTCTTAGCCCATCAGGGGGTGGTCCCTGGTGGGTTCATTTCCTCCACCAAGGGGCGGTATGGTGTGGCGGGCAATGGAGTGGGAGAAATTGGTTTGGATCCTGGCGCATAGCAGGTGCTCAGTACACCCTGGCTGTTGGTGCTAACGATGGGCGTAGTGGTTGCCATCATCTGACAGAGAGGTCTGCTCTGAAAGCGTGTCCTGGTTGACTTAGGAGTTCCCATTCATTCATTCATTCAACAAATAGTTGTCCATGCCCACTGGATGCCGGGCCCTGTGCTAGAGGCTGGGATAGAGACAGGAGCAGACAAACTCCCTGCCCCCACGGGGCTTACATCCTAGTGGAAGAGGCAGATAATTAACAAGATGAGTGTGATAAGACAGGTTGGACTGTGATAAGTTGTATGGAGAAAAATAAAGAAGGAAAGAGAAATGGGGCGGGAAGAGTTTCTTTTTAAAGGTGGTGGTCAGAGAAGGCTTCACAGGAAGACCATGTGTGAACGAAGCCTAGAAGCGGGTGAGGGAAGAGCCGTACCGACTGTGGAGGAACAAGTTACAGGGGAGCCGGGGGAGCTGCCAGGGATTTCTGGAGCACCCGCTCTCTGCTTTGGATGGGGCATCACGCGGCGGGTGGGGCGGCACACAGGTGCAGAGAGGAATCAGTCCGACCTGCAGGGCCAGACACGCCCATGCCACAGGGGACTCCCATGCAGGTCATGGCAAACCCAGTGCTGTGGCACGATGCGGAGAGGGGCTTCCCAGAGGAAGAGGTACCCAAGTACCTCTATACTCAGTACTGCAAGGCGAGGCAGGTGGGGACAGGGTCGAGGATGATGTACCCTGACTTAGGTACATCCTCTAGAAGAGTTGGGAGCTGCTTATGGCCCTTTGCAGACCCCCAGAAGCCAATTTCAGGATGGGTAACGTTAACTAACTCCAGCCGAATGGACCTGAGACATGTACTTTGGAAAGCTGGAGATCAGGGAGGCTTCCTGGAAGAGGTGGCCTTGGAGCTGGGCCTGGCAGCAGAAGCAACGTTGCTAAATAGAGATGCAGAGATAGCCTATGCCCTGGGCCCAGGCACAGTGCTGTCAAGAAGTGCCTCTGATGGGGCAGCTCCACAGGCACCTGAAGGGGAGGGTGGCTGTCCCTGTTCCCCAGGCTCCCAGGCTGCTCTGGATCTCTGCTCCCCCCAGACTGGCCCTGAGGAGGAGGAGGTGCCTGGCGCTGATGGATATGCCGAGGCTGGGCTGCTGCGGCCCGGCACTGTCACCATGCTCTCCCTCTGCACGCCGAACCTGACACCCTGACCACTGAGGCATAAAAAACAGAGAATTGGAAGGCTCAGCCTGTCAGGCTGGGAGTGGCCCCCAGAGAGGCCCGAGGAGGAGTGTGTGTGTGAGTGAGTGCGTGTGCTTGTGTGTGTGGACACGCTCTGCCTGTGGTTGCCGGTGGAGGTGGGGAGGAGGCCGGCCAGGCCCGGGGGGTGGGAGCGGCTGGCCCCTCAATCCTGCCTCATTATTCCTGCCCCACCTGGCCGGGCCCGGAGCCCCCTGGGCCCCGCATTTGGGCTTGGCCACAGGGGGGAGAGCGTGGCTCTTGGCCCTGAGTCCTGGTGGGTCCCTTCTGCGGGCTCTGGCCCTTCGCCACTTATAGGCATGCTTGGGGGCGTCGTGGGGCTGTGTAACTCCCACCAGCTTGCCTGTGTGCTCTGTACCCTGCAGCTTTACAGAGCCCCTCAGTAGCTGCTTCCCAGGCCCCGCTCCAGGGCCTGTGCCGAGTACGCCCTGCCAGGCACTGGGGGACCCAGCAATGAGTCAGGGCCAAAGCCCACCCTCTGGGGAGTGACAGACAGGCCCTTCTGGCCACAAGACCAAGGCAGCAACATTAGGAGGGACAGAGCTGTGACCTCTTCTCCTGTGACCTGGTGGGTGGTAAGAGGCTCCTCAGGGGCAGGCAGCAAGAGCCCAGGGAAGTGCCAGGGGCAAGCGTCACACTCCAGGAGCAGCTGGGCCCACAACCACATGCAGCTGGCACCCCTTATGGTTCCTGCCCAAGCCTGCCCAGAACTGCTAACAAATACCCCTCCCCCTGTGCCTAGAAGGCCCCAGTGGACTCCCTCTTCCGTGCTCTCTGAGTCCTTGGCTTGCCCTTCATTTCAGCCAAGTTCCATCTGCCTCCTCCAGGCAGAGGGCCTGGGTTTATGTCTCATCTACCTGACTGGACTGAAGCCCCAGGAAAGCCACCCCAGATTCACAGCACAGAGGGCCAGACTAAGGTTGAGGTTAACTTTGTCCTCTATAAGCAGAGCCACGCAGGGAGCACACGGGGAGTGGAACTGAACCTATGCTGGGGTCCTGGAGTGACCTCAGTCGGGGATGAGAACCAAGCAGTCTGTGGCTTTGGACCTGGCCAAGCGTGCCAAGACCATTTTGTGAGAGGCCCTGGGCATCTCCTCACCTGTAAAAGGGCCAATGGCCCCAAGGAACACCTGGCACACGGTAGTTCCGTGGTACACATGTGAGAGGCTGGTATTCACTCCCAGTGAGATAAAAGGCTGTAGGGGACATACGGACAGTGCCAGCGACAGCTGTCCACTCGATTCTGGCATGGACCTGACTTGCCTATATTGATTACAGAAGGTACCTGCAGCTCATGGAAGAGGCAGATGCCATTGGCAGTCAGGCTGGCTGGGACCCATGGCCTTTTCTGAACTTGATTTGACATTTGGTTCCTGTTTCTCTCTCCACCCACCACATGCAGGGAGTGAGTTTTCCGGGAGCCCCTACAGCCACCCACAGTATTCCTCGTACAACGACTCCTGGAGGTTCCCCAACCCGGGGCTGCTTGGTGAGTACTGGTGGAGGCCCCGTGGGCCATCAGCTACCCCAGCTAGGCCTCCTCATTGGGCCAGGGGCCCTTGATGTCCTGGGCTCTATCCACTGAGGGAGAGTGGGTAGCTTGTCCAGACACATGGACTATGGGGCTGTCATGGGGGCCTTATGGCAGTATGCACCGCTCCAGCCCTGCCAGTGCCCTGGTCCCTCCCCCAGATGTCTGGTGGATCAGGAAAAATGACACAGAGGGGAACAGCAAAGAAAGGGCACTGAAGAAGAGAGAGGAAGGTGGGGAAAGTGCCTGCCCATGAGTAACGTATATTTCTTAAGAATCGTTCATTACATATTCAGGTGAGAACTGTCTAAATAAGAGGCAGTGAAGACAGCAACTTGGATTGACTGGTAGTGGCTGCCTTGGTAAGAACTCTGAGGCCAGTAATTGATTAGTGATGTCTGCCATGGGCATCACCAAAGCCAGCTCTGTTGGACACTGGCTGCCCTGTGGTGGAGGGCCTGCTGAGGCGTGCCATCCAGGGCTCAGCCAGTGCCCGCCCGCTGCCCCAGGCAGACTGGCAGATTGTCCTGTGTGCCAGCCTGACCCATGGAAATCATCAGTATATTTGGGCCACCCGAAGCCCAAGCAGGAATAACCCAGCCCTCAAAAGGCCAAGAAGAGCCTTTTGTTGTATTGAAATGAACTTACGTGAAACCAGCTAGTGAGTGCCAGCTGGACCTAAAGGTTCTGGAACGTGAAGCAGAGGCCTAGGCTCAGAGATGTCACTCACCACTGGGGACAGAGCCAGCCAATCAGCCTGCAGACAGCAACGCTGATCCCGCCCCCAGCGGTCAGCTAAGAATTTTCCAGTGGGAGCAGTAAAAGGTCAGACACAGAAGAGCCCTCTGAGACCACCCAGGTTTGTCTGTCCAGCTTAACAAGGCCTCCTGAAGGAAGAGCCCATTAATTCCCTGGATCCTTAATTATTTCAGGACTGAGAAACCTAGGCTTCATCAGAAAAGCAACAACCTGGTATCTTCAAACTCAAGTTGCCAAGCCGTAGGTCTGTGAAGCCTCAGCCTTGACCCCTTCCCAAACCTGGTTTGGTGATTAGGACAGACGCATGGTATGGACACTGCCTGTCTGTCTCTTGCTCCCTCCAGTCCATGCTCTTGGGCCCAGGGCTGTCCAGAGCATTTTGGTGTGTTGTGCATAACTTGTGGATGAAGTAACGAACGATGCCAATTAGTGCTCCAGGTCCCGCGCTAGGGAGATTTTGCACCTTGCAGAAGACGACCAGGCTCTTATTATCTGTGGTCTCTGGGAGGGGCAAGATCTGTGAATTAATCTCTTCTCAAACTTCTTTTTTGGTTTTGGTCAAAAATTATTTCTAAATATTGAACCAAGGTCTCTACTTATTTGATGCTTTTCCTTAAACAGACCCTCTGAGATGGCCCAGCTGTCAGTCTCAGGACACGGGAGGCATGGGCTGTCTGTGGTCTTCCTGAACGAGGGTCTTCCAGCAGTGGTGGGGGCAGGGCGGTGGGTCTTGAGGCCTGAGCCTGGGAGCCTTTCCCTGGATATCTGTCTCGGTCAGAGCCCTGGTCACAGTGCTGCTGGGAGACCCACAGGGGATGTGGCACAAAGGAGACCTGGGCATCAGCTTGTGGGAGTGATTCTTTCTGTTGGGGATGTGACCCTAAGGAGATCATGTTGGCCCAGGGCTGCCACATATGACTGTGCATGCCCAAGGGGACAAATGGGGGCTGAAATCCAGCCCATGCATGGCACAAAGCCCTGAGCCCTGGCACAGGGCTACACCTGCTGAGAAAGGGTATCTTTTTCTGATTTTCACAAGGTGTCCTAGAGGTTGGCAGTGGCCCTCATTTATTTGCCTGGGAATTCAAAAGACAGAGAAGTGGGCGGAAACTGCATAGGCAGATGTGGCAAAGGGGCAGAGTAAGACGTGGGGTGGCCTGTGGAGTGTGCAGGAGCAGGGACCTGGAACACTGGGCTGAGAAGTTTGGACCTGATTGTGTGGGCAGCTGGGTGTCTGAGGGAATGGGAGGGACTGGGGGGCTAGACCGCCCCTGAGGCTTCCGCTGCTCCAGTGGGAGTGGAGCCAGTTTACATGCCCGGTCGTTAGGTTGGGCTGTGTGCCGGCGTGGGAAAGATGCAGGCTCTGTCCCGGGGAGTGCACAGGCCGGGGGCGACGGAACCTCAGGCAGGGGTGTCTGCACTGGGAGGTGCTCAGTGCCTTTAAGGGGGCCAGAGACAGTGCGGAGAGAAGGAAGAGGAATCAACTCTGTTCATCTAAGTGAGCACTTGCCAACAAGAAAACCCTTCACAGGAGTTATCCCATCTTATCCTTTCGACGACTCCATAGAGCACATATTATCTCTGTAATACAGAAGAGGAGAGTGCGGCTCAGAAAGGTTAATTGATTCACCTGAAGTCACACAGCATGCAGATGGCAGAATGAGGGCTTATATTCAGATCCACCTGACACCAGGGCCTATTTTCATAACCAGTATGTGACGTGGTACTCTTACTGTTCCCCACTCACTCACAGTCTGCACAATACTACAGCGGGAAAAGAGGCCTCATCTCTCTGTAGAAACAGGCCCTAAATACTCAGACCCGGTGCATGATGAGAACGGCTCTGGCCTAGTTTTGAGAGCCGGGTTACTGTATAACGGACTCTCAGTTGCAAGCAACAGAATCCACTTTGGCCAGTTTAAGCAGAAAATGAATTTATTAAGGGATATTAGAGGCTCCCAGAATCTTCAGGAAGACCAAAAAGAGATAGGCATGGGACACAGCTGGGAACAACACCCAGCCGCACCACTGGGGCTGCTCCCGCACACACACTCCTGCTGTGGCCAGCAGGCCCCAGCGGCACCCCCTGCAGCTGCCCCTCTGCTGCGCTGTACCAGGGGCTGGAGCTGGGCGTCAGAAGCTCTGCCCTTCTACCCACTTCCGATGCATGGAGTCCCCCAGCTGCTTCCTCAAGTCGCTCCCTTCCCAGTCAAGGTCATACATGAGACAGTCTAATTGTCAGCGCCCACGTACCACACCTGTGCCCTAGCAGCAGGGCAGGCTGGGGGGTGAGTTCTGACTTCTAGCTCGAAGAGGCGGCCTCGGACCACAGGAAACTCTGCAAACACAGGGACAGTACGAACGACGTTGGGCAGCTGCAAACATGAGAACGGGGCCCTGTGCTGCCCAAGCTACAACCTGGGAGTCCTAGTCAGGTCACCCCCCAGTCTGGGCCTCTGCTGCCTCAGGTGCAATTTGAGGATGGTCGCCGTGGCAGCCTCATTCGAGCAGGAGCTGACCACGATGCTCTCTTGAGGCTCATGGCCAGAATAACAGTGAATAACATGCTTTCCTGAAGATTTGAGAGACTCCTGGCTCGCCGACCCACAGCCCTGCAAATAACTCCAGCCTGTTCACATCTACCGCCCCTCCCCACAGCGTCCCCAGGGCTTGGCTGAGAGAATCCCCCAGGGCAGGGAGACCTAGACCAATTGTTCCGGCCATCTGGGGAAGGTGCCAGGGTGTGGAAACCCTGGCTCCTTGGTGCTCCCGCTGGATCAGTGGGCACCGAGGGAGCAGGTGAGGGCCTGCACACACGCACACACTCATATGCATGTGCTCACAGCCTCACGTCCTCCCTCCACTCTCACACGCCCTCGCACACGCTAGCCGCACCCCGGCCAGCCTGGCTGAAGCCTCCTTAGCAGAAACACGGCCGAAGTGAGGGGCGGCAGGGCCAGCAGAGGAAGCAAGGGGCTCACTGCACGTTGGCATCTTGGGAGAACGTCGCTCCCCACGATCCCCAGCCAGGGCGGCGTGGGGCCCCAGGCCAGCGAGGGGCCGCAGAGACATCGGGGCAGGGCTGGAGGGGAGAAAGGGCGGGCGGTCAATTAGGATTAGAACGGGCGCCTGTGCCGCTGTAAAGGGATTAGAGGGCAGCGGAGCCGGAATGACTGTGTCAAGCAGTAAATTGATGATAATGTGAATTAGAGAGGAAAAATGACAGAAGAAAGGACAAGTTTATTCTAGATGGAGGTCTAATGGGCACCGGAAAGACAGAGTGCTTTGCGAGGTGATGTTTTCATTTTTCACGGTAGATGCAAACTCTCAGGACGGCCTGGCCGGGAGGCGAGGCTTTGGGCACGAGCGAGTCAGAGCCCAGGGCAGAGGTGGCCAGGTGGGGGTTGGACGGCAGAGCCAGGGATCCTTCTGGCAGGAGCCTTGACTTCCATTTCCTGCCTCTGGGGGCCTATCTGAGGGGCAGCCCCTGTGACTGTCCTTGTGCCGTGCCCAGGCCTGCAGGGACGGGCCCCCTTGCACACATATGCCCCTATCCCCCACGCCTGCTGCAGGCAGGCCGCAGGGCTGACACTGCAGATGCTCTGTGAGTGACGGCCCCCATGCTGTCCCCATCCCACAGAAGAGAGCACAGAGAAAGGCTGGCAGGTGTCTCTGAATCAGGGCTCTGACTCGGGAGGTGACAGAGGAGGCTGCAGAAAACTCCATCTCTGGAAATACTTAGGCATGGGGTTGGTGTCTGTCCCTTCCAGAACAGTACAGCCTGCCTGCTCCAGCACTGTCATTGTTGCCTGCCGCCATACTGTCTTGGTGTGGTGTGAGGAAGGACAGGCAGGGAGTGGTAGTGTATGTGCTAATCAGGGCTGAGTTTGGAGGGGAGGAGGCACATGCTGATGTGCCCCCATCCCACCCTCTTGGTTACATACTAGCTGTATGACCTTGGGCAAGGTACTTAACCTCTCTGTGCCTCATTTTCCTCATCTGTAAAATGGGGACAGTAATAGTTCTTACCTGGTAGGGTTGTTGTGGAAATTAAGAGTTAGTGGAGATAGAGTGCTTAGAAATGTGATCATTTTCACAGCTCTTTCAAGTCCTCCTCTCACGGTGCCGTCACAATAGCCCCACTGTGACCCCTTTTTACAGATTAAAAAACTGAGGCTCAGGGGAATGAAGTCCCTTGTTCAAGGTCTCACAGCCAAGAAGTGGCAGAGCACGACTGGCAAACTCTAGGACTCAGCCCCAGTTGTGGTGCAGGTGGAATCTCCTTTATTTGAAATGCTTGGGACCAAAACTGTTTTGGATTTCAGACTTTTTTCAGATTTTGGAATATTTTCATTATACTGGTTGAGCATCCCCGTTCCAAAAATCTGAAATGTGAAATGTCCCCAAATCTGACATGACCCTCAAAGGAAATGCCCACTGGAGCATTTCACATTTCGAATTTTTCAGGTTGAAGGGATGCTCAACCTGCAGCCGGGAGAATTGCCAGGATTTGGTTTGGATTTGGGTGAGATTGCGGAATGAGTCACTTCACCTGGGGACCTAAGCAGCTTGACAGGGCCCCAGCTGCTGCCCACCTAGACAAACAGGGCCCTCCAGGGTAGGGTGTAAAGCACTTGAACTGGAACAGGTCTTGAACCGGATGCAGACAGCCTGAATGTCTGGCCAGGCCCTGGCACCGAGAGTCTCTGTGGCTTTGGGCACACGACTTTGGTTTGTTGAACTTCAGTTTCCCCAAGCTGTGAAAGGAGGAGATTGGCCTAATGATTCTAACCTCTGTGGTTCTGAGAACCTGGGCCCCACAGCTCCCCCACCCCTGAGGAGGCTGCCGGAAAGGGGCCCCCAGGTCTGACCTCAGCTCCCTCTCCCATCTCTTCCAGGCTCCCCCTACTACTACAGCGCCGCTGCCCGAGGAGCTGCCCCGCCTGCAGCCGCCACTGCCTACGACCGCCACTGACCCTTGGAGCCAGGCAGGCGCCAAGCACTTGTGACACATATCATTGAGGGCGATAGCCTCCAGCCCCTCTGCAGCCAGCCAGAGAGGCCTGCTGAGACCGTCCCCAGCAACCTCCCCCAGACACCTGAAATTTCCACCTTCCCCTTCTCCTCCCCGGGACTGGGATTTTATGGCAGGGCTTTTGGACTTCTCGATGCTTGCCCGTTGCTAAGAGCCAATTGATGAGCTTCTCCCAGTGGCCACTGAGAACCAACAGACCATTCTGTGGACAACTGCAGCCCCGCCCAGCCTGCCAGTCCCCCAGCCATCTGACCATCTGTCTGTCAAAACCACCCAGGCCTGGGAAGGAGAGCTTGCTTTAGCGGCTTCAGCAGCACTCGTGTAAATACCTTCTTGCTTTTCTGTGGGCCCAAGGGTCCGACTGAGTAGACTGCCCAACCCATTATGCATCCTGCACTCACAGTGCATCATGGGACATCTTAGACCTGTGCACAGAGCATCCTCTCTGCCCTGGGTGCCCCCTGCCACGTGGGCTCAGAGCTGTCCTTGACACCAAGGGTGCCCACCTTGGGGCCCCAGCCTCCTGCTCACCTCTACTTCTTTCATGTCTTGACTGGGAGTTTCACTGGGCTGGTTGGGCTGCAAGCGCCCCCTGAGACCCCTCCTCGAAAGGAACATACTTTCAGGAGACGCACTGGCTTCCTGCCTCCATTTCCCTGGGGCCGATGGAGTATTAGCAACCCTTTTCCAGATCAAAGAACTCAAAGGGAACTGCTGGGGAGATTCCTCAGCTACCGTGCAAAAGCAAAATGTTATCCAAGGTGTTGACTGCACCGTGGACTTGGAGCGTCAGGGCTGGGTGGGATGCAGGAGATCATCCGATCCAAGCCCAGGAGGGGCCCGAGGCTCTCCTGACTCCCCCAGCCCCTGGGACTGTGTGTTTTCTGAGGCATATCCAGGCTCGAATCACTTTGGACACCCACCATGGACACTTCACCTACCCTCGAGGACCCCTGTGAGTGGATTCTGGGCAAGTCTGTCCCAGCCAGGTAGACAATGATTAACACAAAGGACTTTCCCCTGCACCAAGGACCCCAGACAACCTACAGCAGCCAGTCAGCACTTCTGCATGTCCGCTTGGGGCGGCCCCTCCCCGTCCTCATGGAGCTTAGCATGCAGCTGGGGCAGAGGTGCTGGGGTTGGGGGCAGAGCCCTACTTTGCACAGTGCATGCCCACCTGTTGATTGAAGGGGCTGTGATGGTCAGGGCCATGGCCAAGGACCACAGGAGCTTGGAGAGGGGCCTTGGAGAACTCACCGTGGGCTAGAGTGGCCAGAGGAAGCCAGCTGGGAAGATTTGGGGGACAGAGGAAGGCCTCCTGGGAGAGAGGCAGGAAAACCATGAGGAAGTGGTATGTGACCTGGGAGTGGTTTGGCGATAGGGGTGCCAGATGCCACCATCTCTATGCCTAGGGCCTCAATTCCTTGCATAGTCTCTCTTGTCAACTCAGAACAGCCAGGTGTAGCCCCTATCCAAACCCCAGCTGAATTACAGCAATGACAGTGGGCTTGGTCATCTCATATGACAGTGTCCCCCCATGCCAGTACATCACCAGGATGGCAGAGAGCTGGGGCAGAGAGAGCCTGGACGGGGGTTGTCAGTTCAGGCAAGCCCTGTCCCAGCCATTCCTCTGCTTTGCTGTGGGGCCTCAGACAGGACCCTTCACCTCTTTGAGCCTCAGCTGCCTTGGTACAGCAGAGTCACCTGTAGGGTCACCCAGCATCTCTCTGCTTCCCTTCCCCCTCCCAGGGAGCTGGGGCCATGCCAGGGCCGGCTGAGGCAGGCCCTCCACTCCTGAACAAGCACATGGGGTGGTGCCTGAGTCCTGCCCATACTTAGACCAAGTGGGAAACAAGAACACCCAGAGGTGCAGGATCCAGAAGAGCCTTGAAAAAGACCTAGTTCAGCTTCCCTTAGGGGAAACTGAGGCCCAGTTTGGGGAAGCCCAGGACCATGCAGGGAGGCAGAGCACAGCAGAGCAGACCTCCTCGGGCCAGCACTAAGTGTTTTGCTCCCCAGACTCCTGAGAGGTGGTGGGACAGAAGAGAAAACTGAGTCTCAACAAGGTGGAGTCCCCAGGCAGAGGTAGAGGTGGGGCTGGGACTCGGTCACCCCCATCTATCTACATCTTAGCCCTGGGGAGAGAGGTTGACAGTGAGGGCAGCAGGAGATGGCTCTGGGCCCAGTGCCCCAGACTGGGTGGCTGGGGCTGTTAGAACCGCCAAGGAAGCCCAGTCACCCAGGCCCAGCGAGCTCACACTCACCCTCTGGAACCCGCTAGGCAAAGAAGGGAGGTAACTAGAGCTAGAGCCACCTCCAGGAGCCGGGATAAACCGGCTCCAGCCTCCACCTGCCAGGTAAGGAAGGGGAAGGTGCATTACCTGGCTCCTCCCTCCCCCCATTAAGCAGGAAATGCTGGGTCAGGAGTCTTCCTCGCAGACCTTGGGCCTCTGCCCCCTGCCACCACTCTCTCGGAATGATGTGCACCCACATCTTTGGATCCTGGTCCCCCCCTGTGATTCCAGGCTGCCGGGAGGAGCTCAGCCGCCCCTGAACCAGCTGCCTAAGGCACACAGCATCCTCCCTCGGCCAAGCCCACCTGGCCCCCGCGGCCCCCTCTCCCCATCCTATTCCTCTTCTTGCCCCTGTGCTGAGCTCCCTCCCGGCCTTTCATCTCTCACCTGAGGCTTTGCGGGACCTCAGATTGGACTTGTATTTATTAGACAACCACTCGATTCCTGGGCTGCCAGGCAGAAGCACAAGAGCACACGGATGCACACGGATGTTCTCATACATACGTATCTGCTCTCGCTGATTCAGAGCCCCCTCGCCGTCCGGCGGGGCTGCTGGGGGCTTGGTGAGGAGGCTTCCAAAGGACACAAGCCGTTGAGTAGATGCCAGAATATTCTGAATGGAAAACAGTAAGTCCAGGACTTTACCAGCATTGCGGCAGGAGGCCTGGGGCATTTCTTCACAGGTCTTCAGCCCTGTGGTCCAGCTCCGACTTTTTGAAAAGGACATTGTGGATTTTATGAAAAAATTTCATACCGTTAGTCTAGCTCCAACCTAGAGAAATCTGATGACATATCAAACCCGACATCTCTTTCCCAAGGCGCCTTAGTTAGGGTCAGCCCTCTCATACCTGACGTCACACGGTGCTTTGCAATCTTCAACCCGACCAGGATGCCTGTTTCACAGAGGGGGAAACTGACGCTGAGGCTCACGGGGCAGGGCAGACGGGATGTGCATCCTTAGCTCTCCAGGCCCCATTCTCCCTCACAGACTGTGCTCCTGTCATGGGAGTGTGTGGCTTAGACACCCGCCCCTCACTCCCCTAGAGACCTTCCAGACCCAAACAGGGAAAGAAAGAACAGGGACCCAGAGGCTGGCCTGACCTAGGGGCCTGGGGGTTGGTGGCTTTGCTGGTCCAGATTGGTTCCCATTAACGTTGAAACCTGCAGAGTCTTGCCCAAATTCACAGCAGCACTTCTGAGCTTTCCTGCAGACGCCTTCCCTCCTGTACCCTGAGGCTCGGAGGGGATTGGAGCTTGTCCATGTCCACACCGTAATCCCTGACAGGCCCTGGGCATGGGCCCAGCTCTGACTCCCAGGGCCCGGGGTGCCCGTGTCACGAGCTGTCCCTTCATTCCCCTTTTCTTTGTTCTTTCCACTTTGGAACAGAGTCCAGGCCTGCTGTGACAATATGTGGGAGTGCCCGAGCCTGGGCCACTGGGGTGCCCCCAGGCCCAGGAAACACAGATTACAATCTCCAGGGCCCTGAACTACCTGCTTCCTGGGCCGGCCAGGTGGTGCAAGCTTGCAACGTAGCAGGGCGTGAGGCAGCAGGGCATGGCGGGGCTGGAGACGCCCAGAAGGGTGCTGCCCCCGGGCTGGTGTTCGAGTGTGAAAACTTAAAATGCTCTGTCAGCCAAAAGAAGACTATGTCTATGGGCCACATTTGACCCACTGGCCACCAGCCTGTGACCCCCAGTCTCTGTCGAATGCCCCTTTCTTCTTCACCTCCTTGTCCTCCATGGTAGATTTGCAGGAGGCGGGAGCCCAGAGAGGTGAGAGCTGTGCTTCAGGTTGTCCAGCAGCATGTCAGTGGCAGAAACAGGCACACCCAGTCCCTGCGGCCCTCCCACGCCTCATCCTGAGCTCTGGCAGACCATGGGCTTCGAAGGTGGGCTGGGGTCGAATGTCAGAGGTGGTAGGGGTCGGGGGAGCTATTGGCTTTAAGGGGAGGTAAAAGCCGTTGGATTTAAGGTGGGGGCACTTCACATACACGGGAAGCCTTGTGTGTGGCCACAGGGCACTGAGGGGTGAATCCCTTTATGAGAAGTCATACCCCAGATGGCTGCCCTGCCTTTGGCAGCCTATGGCTCCAACCAGCCCCTCTGGATGACATTTCAGCCAAAATTTAGCTCCAAGCCATGGCGCGCAAATCTTAAAAACAAACCAAGCGCTCAGACAAATAAGCTGGAAACAAGCTCTGTCTGAGATACAGCTTCCCAGGAGGGTAGAGACAAATCCAGGCCCCTGGAGAGGCCAGGCCCAGCTGGCATGAGTGGGTCCCACAGGACTCTGGGCTCGATCAGCTCACGGTGGCCCTGCTAAGAGGCCAGCTCCGCGGCCTTGGCCTTGTCACCCATCGAGAGCCTGCCTCCGATGATTCCCAGGCATGCACACCAGCCCTCCTGGTAAATTTATTCCTTTAGTTCTTTTGGCCTCAGAGAGGTCCAAGGCAAGTGCATTTCTCAAGAGGTAACAAAACACATTATTGGAAGTTGGACAGTCAGGCCATGACTCCTAGCCTCAGTCTGCCCCACCTCCCAGCAGCCCCTGCAGCCCCTGTGCCCTGTTGGCCCCTTGTCCCCGGACCTCGGGACTCCCTCTTGCATATTTATGGGGAGTCACAGTGTTGATCTGTGCTCCCCACTGTCAGCTCAAGGCTGCGCCTCAAGCAGCACCATGTCCCAAGGGGCCGGCAGCAGAGGCCAGGCTGTGAGCCCCCTGCCCACTTGCTCTCCTGACGAGGCGGCAGCTTCTCTGAGACTGCTGCTTGCCAGGAGCGGGCAGGCACCAGTCTTTCTTTCCTTCTCTGGTAATTCCTCAGTACTGAGGCCCCATCCTGGCTGCCCCCAGGATGGAAGAGGTCCTCAGAATCGCATCACTGCCATTCTAGAGTTTTAGTCCAGGGGTAAACAGAACTACCATTCAGCAAGTCTAGATATTCTTCTTCCCACATCTTGGACCCCTGAGCAGCCCAAGGGGAAAATGCAGCTGCTTCCCTCTTTACTGAGGGAATCTCAATGAATTCCCAAATGGAGCCAGTCTCAGGTAGTGAACTTGGCCTGTGGCAGGAGAGGCAGAGGCAGCAGGAACCTGCCCTTCAGCTTCCAGTGGCTCTGAGCAGGGTCCAGGGAAGGAAGCAGGTGAAAGAGCAGGGCAGGGATGACTGGGCAGTCACGTGCCCCCTCCCTGACCTGGGGCCTGGCAGGAGGAGGCCACGCTGCAGCCTCCCCTGCTCCAAGATGGGCCCACCTGGTCCCGTGGCTGTGGCTGCTGGGCCACCCTTGTCCCCTAAATCACCTGCTTATGGCCACGTCCCTCATCTTCTCCAAAAGCATCATTAAGAACAAGAGATTTTGGATGATGCGTTTTTGATTTACGAATGGTGCATTTCCCTTGGAGTGGAACAGAAAGGAAACCATTTAATGACCCCCTTATTTTCAAGCATGAATACATTTTAATGAAGCTATTTTATTGTGTTTGAGGAAATGGCGAGTTGAACATTCCAACCAATCAATAGCCAATTAATTGCTATAAAGCTAAAAAAATAAATAAATAAATCCTGAGACTATTTTAAACACTCTGCAAAGCTCAGAGCCTCAGACTCTGGCCTCCCCCTCCATGACGTGCACAGACGTGCACATGCACACACACGCACCCGTACACCTCAGACATACTTGAAACTCAGAAAAAGCGCTGAGTCCCTCGTGCCAATCCTTGCCTTTGGCCAGAGAAGGTGAGCAGACCTGACAGCAGCCTGTCCTGGGGCTCAGGAAGAGGCAGGCCCATCCCTGTCCCCAAGCCCCCGTGCGGGGTAGTGGGGTATCGGGTGGTGAGGGCCGGGTGTTGCCTGGGCCCCCCTTCTCGGCCCCAGCCACTGGGCCTCAGGTTGGGCTGAGGGTGGCGTTCCGCCTCTGGTTTTGCCCTGACTCCTGCTGGAAGATGCTGCCCTGGTTTCTCACCCTGAGTGGCCTTTGGACATTGAGTATTTGTAGAAATGCAGATTACTTTGCAAATGGAACTCTTTGCCAGGAAGACACATGGGTTTCACTTTTCATTCTTTGAGACACTTTGTCTTAGGGACTGACCTTCCAGCATCAAAGAAATACATATCTACTGTATCCGCCAAAGTTTGTGATGCCTGCATAGACGCTTACTTGTAAAAAAAAAAAAAGTACAAAAAAACCAACAAAAAAAAAAAAACCACAATTGAATTGCCTTTGAAAGTGGGAGATGATCTGTCTCCAACAGATTGAAAAAAAAAATGCTTCTTAAAAATGTGTATGTTTTGTATTCTTTTTTTCTAGTAGAAAATAATTGACTTGAAATATTGGTGGTTTTTTTCTTAGTGACGTGTGTTGCTTTTGTGTGTAATAATATTTGAATGTAATTACAGCAGTGCCAATTTGCCAAAGATGTCGGACATATTTTTTTTGTTGTTGGGAGGAGGGCAGGGCTGGGGGTGGGACTTGGGAGAAAACAGGGGTAGGGTTTTGGTTTAATTTTTTTAACTTTTTTTTTCCTTGTCAAACCTGGAATTTGTGGCTTTTATTTTAAGTTAAATGGTTGACTGCAACACCTTTATTTTAGATTAGTTGGAGAAACATGCAATAAGATTGGCGTAGTTTCAATATCTGTGTGTCTTTTCATGAGTGGCTGTTACTTGTGAAG